TATTGTATGTATAATTCAATCCGCATATAAATTTAAACTCAGTTTCGTAACTTTTTTTTAGGGGTATACTAGGTTCGCGATTTCGTAGACATAACATTTCACCGACAAAAATTCACCGACAATTACTTCACCGGCAAGTTTATTTCACCGACAAATTCATTTCACCGACAGTTTATTTCACCGAAGCTCATTTCAAATACAACCTTTTTTTTATAAATCCCACCAACCTTAACTCTAATTCTAACCTGACCTTAACGACAATGACCAGAATTACTTTGTCGGTGAAATGAGCTTCGATGAAATAAACTGTCGGTGAAATGAACTTGTCGGTGAAATAATTGTCGGTGAATAGTTGTCGGTGAAATGTTATTTCTACGAAATGAGCGTCTGTGAAGCGAGCTGAACCGGTTTGCCGTGTGTCTAAAGCCATTTACCTTCACATATTGATCTAAATCATATTATTGATATCTTTATAAACCACCAACCCTACTAAATGCATCAAAAACGAATCTAAACGGGAATTGGCTTTAGCCATCCCTTTTTTTTGGTTTGTAAATAAGTAAATTGATAGAAAATAAATTGCTCGATGTTAAAGGTAACAGAGTAATTACATGCCATAGGAATAAAAATTAAAGAGAAACAACTTCACATTCATGTCTAATTATTGACTGTGGAACATTTATCAAACATTTTAAAGAAAGCCACTGAATAAGTTTAAATTTATATGGTAAGCAAGAAAAATCCACCATTTGAGGTATGCCTGGTTTTTGAAGATTCTATAAACGCAAGTAAAATCAGCTTTTATTATGTTTGAGTTCCAAACAATATAATTGGATTTAATTATACTAATGAATACAACTATATTCGATTAATTGTTTTCGGCCTAATTACAAAACTGTCCTAGCGTTACCAACCTAGAATCTAGCGATTATCCAAAACTTTTAAAAATTTCCAAACTTTTTTAGCAATGACTACTTGATCAAATTCGGGGAAATTTTTCTTTATTTCAATCCCATATTTTTGTGGAATCAAAATAAAAAAAAATTTTTTTAGTAATTACAAATTTTATACATATGCTTTGTAAAGCAAATTAATCATGTTAAAGTTGGGGTTACTTTTTTGATCAGTTAGTGTTGCGATTTATATATGGGTATCAATAATATAATTTATGAAGTATGTAGATCAATAAAAATCTATATCATAAATTAATAATAAAATAAGGCAGGCCTACCGAATAATTGATTGTGGGGGCAATTAATTGCAATATTTCGAACTCAATTAATTGATTGATGGCGCAG